AGCTGCCTTCCCAGATGGAAGGTGAAGGTGTCAGCCCTTCCTGAAATATTTCTTCATGGAAGCCATCCCTGCCTCTCCTACTCCTTGCCTGCTCCACTCCGCACAGACCCTGCCTGGGTCTCTGAATCAGGCTGGGTAGAGGGAGAGGGGAGCAGGGATTCATGGGGCTGGTGGTGGGGATATTAGCCTGAGCAGTCTCAAAAGTAAGCCCACTGGGGAGACCATAGTGGCCACCTGTGCGCCCACCATCGAAGCCTCCATCCTCAGGAAATAGAGAGCAGTCTCTTAAACCTGAGTTTGTTACAAACAGGAAGTTCACTAAAACACAAGGAGGGAAAGGACAGCCCCCCCCCCCCTTTGCTGGGCTGGGCACAAGACCCAGGGCCACAAGCTTGTAAGTAGGAGCTCTATCCCTGAGTCACACCCCCCAGTTTAGTATTGAAGACACCTAGGTGAGTAGGTGTATAAAACTCCCTTGAGAGCCAACACTAGAAAAGGAAGGGGGAGGGTGGAGAAGGAACAAAGGGCACAAAAGGAGGGACGTGGAGAGGGCTTAGAGGGCTTCCAGGGCTTCCGCTGTCTCCCTGATGGTTTTTACTTGTTTGCCTGCTTGTTTGTGGCAGGGCCTTGCTATGTAGCTCAGGCTGGCCTTGAGCTCACTATGCAGTCAAGCTGGGCTCAAACTCAGCCTCCTGAGCGCTGGGATCACAGGGGAGCAGACCACCCCCCAGCTGGTCTTACATTTTTTTTTTTTTTTTAAACACAAAGGTGCACAAATCGTATTTGTACACACGGCCCAGTTAACCTTCACAAGGTGAACACATGCACATAACCAACTCCCAAACGGAGAAAAGACAGAACACTCTCAGAACCCTGGCCAGTCACTCCCACACCCCAGAGCTACTCTTGCAGCTGTAAGGCCCTGTGTCCCATCCACTGGCTTTTCCCTTTCGCCCAGTGGAATCAGTGTTGGCTTGTGTGTCTGGTTTTTACACCCAACGCTACATCAAGGTTTCTGGGCATCACCCTGTGGGGCAGCGACCCACCTGTGCTCAGCGCCAAGCAGCAGCCCCCACTTCTATCAGAACAGACTTAGGGGTGCAGCTGCTGCGCTTCCCTAATACTTTTATTCCTTTTTTTTTTTCTTTTTGTATTTTTTAGGGAAGGGTCTATGGGGTGTTCAGGGTCTCACTACTAGATAGGACTCATAGTGATCCACCTGTTTACAGCCTCCCAAGGGCTGGGATTACAGGTGCGCATCACCAAGCCCAATCTCAGATGCTTTCTCAGCGCACCCCGGGGGCGGGGCTGGCACGGCAGGCTGGGAGATTGAACCCCGGCCCCTGCACCTGCTTGCAGGCACTTTAATCTGCTGAGCTATTTGGCCAGCCCTTATAAATTTTTATTCCTTAATAATTAAAGATTTTGAAAAAAATATTTTAAAAAATAGATTCAAGCATTGAAATGAATGGAAAGAAAATACCTGGGCAAGATGTGCTGAGGCCGCAGGAATAGGAAGATGGATGTTTCTAGATCTATGTCCACCTTTACCACCATCTCCTCTTCCCAAGTGGTGCCAGGCCTGGTACTGGGGGATCCCCACCCCCACCCCCGCCCTACCTCCTGCCCAAAACAGGCAGGCAGCTGACCTTGGGAAAGCCTATCTCTTTCCAAGCATGGAGACTTGGAAATAAGCTCTTACAGCACTGTTGCCTCCTTGCTGTGTGGCTTGATGCAAGTGGCCTGCCCTCTCTGGGCCTCACCTGTAAAATGGGCAGCAGAGACATCAAGCTGAGGAGGCAAAGTAGTCAAGTGCCCAGCACACATGTATCACTGAACAAACAGCAACTCAGGAGGTGTGAATGAAAAATACAGTGAACGTTTGAAACTATGGCTGGGTGTGGGGGCACAGGCTGCAATCCCAGCACTCTAGAGGCCGAGGCAGGAGGATCACCAGGAGTTCAAGGCCGGCCTCAGCTACACGGTGTGATTCTGTCTCAAAAAAGAAAGTATGTTACAGGGAAGCGCTTATTCTACTGAGCCATCTCCCTGGCCCCGAAAATATATTACAGTAAAAGACACATTGCCACGAGTCCTTAGGAGACTCCTCCTTGCTTCACACACTCTTATCCCAATCTCCTTGCCACTTTCTGCAGCAGCTCTAAGTCCTCTTTCCTGGGTGTCTTTAGTTGTACTGTCCTTGCTGCCTGCACGTCTTAAATGTATTGGAAACATTGCCCTTTTGTGGTAACTTGCCTCTGGGGAAGAGCAGGAGACCCCACAGCAGTCAACCCAGGTAATAAGATGCAAGGGGGGCCAGGAGATGGCTCAGTGGAATAAGCGCTTCCCTGGCAAGTGCAAGGGTCTGAATTCAATCCCCAGTTCCACAAAAATAAATAAATAAATAAATAAATAAATAAAATAAAAAAAGAAGATGCAAGGGGACACAGTACCATGTTCTCACAACCTACCTTTCTCTCAGATGGTGTCAGCAGCAGCAGTCATGTTTTTTTTTTTTAATTTTTTTTTAATATTATTTATATATTTATTTATTTAGTGTGTGTGGCCAGCTCAGCCCACCAGGGGGCGGGGCTGGCTGGCATGTGGTGCTGGGGGATCGAACCGCGGTCCCTGCGCTTTGCTTAGCTTAGTTTGTTCTAAATAGGTGCCTTAGACCACTGAGCCATCTCACCAGCCCCAAGCAGTCATGTTTTTTTACTGCACCTTATAAAGACACCCAGAAAAATGATGAGCTCTTTTTGTGCCTCAGTTTTCTCTTCTGTAAAACAGAGCTAATAAGCTGGGCACAGTGGCACATATCTCTAATCCCAGCACTCAGGAGACCACCAGGAGGATCTACGTCAGTTTGAGATCAGCTTGGGCTACACAGTCGTTCAAGGCCAGTCTGACCTACATAATGAGACCCTGTCTCAAAAAACAAAGACAGGTTGGGGAGACAGCCAGGCTATCTAAGTGCCTGCCTGGCAAGCACAAGGACCCGGGTTCAATCCCTGGCGTCACAAGCCATGCCAGCCCAGGGAGTGCTGTGCAGGGCACCATAAGCAGGTGTGGTGGCACAGGCCTGTAATCCCAACGCTGGGGAGGCTGAGACAGGAGGATCACTACTGAGTCTGAGCTGCATAGGCAGACCCTGTGCCAAATAAATACATAAATGAATAAATATTTTAAAAATGAAAAAAACCACAAAAATAAGCAAAACAGAACAAAGCAGAGCTAACAAAACTATCTACCTCTTACGGTTCTCTTAAAAAGAAAACAGTCGATGTGCCCGCCTTAGTTGTCATCTGATTCTTGCCGCCACTGCCGTTGCTATGCTGGAAAGGTCAGGGCGATATCCCAATAAATGCCACCGGGCTGGGGGTGTAGCTCAGTGGTAGACCGTGTGTTTAGCATCCTTGAAGTCCTGGGGTGATCACTCGCACCACACAAAAAGAACAGAAGGGACCAAGGGGCATGGGAAGTCCTCTCTAACTTAACTCCTAGATGCGGGAAAGGCTCCCACAGGATCTAGGTGTGCCCATCACGCTGGCCCAATACAGACCTGGACAGGCCCGCAGTAGGTGTCACTACAGGACAATGACCTGAGGCTACTGTCTGCTCAGAGCAAGGAAGGAGGGCAAGGACACCCCTGCCTCTCCAGGCCCCTGGCAAGCCTGTCCCTTAGAAGACCCCTCCTCCCAGCAACCTTCGCGGGGCCTGAGGCCTGACAGAGCTGTCCTGTCCACCTGCCCCACCAAGCCCGCCTTCAAGAGCTACTGTCTTCCCACCCTCGCTCCAGTCAGGGTCCGCTTTTGGTCATGGGGACCTGGCATCCGGAGGCGCCTTTTTTTTTTTTTTTTTTTTTTGTGGAACCGGGGATTGAACTGAGATCCTTGCATTTGCCAGTCAAGCGCTTATCCTACTGAGCCATCTCC